CTCAAGCTGCACACATATTTCGACGATGTTCTGGAAGAATGTAGTCCCGGGCCTTCTCTCCTCAAACCAAATAAGGTTGCTGGTTTTCCCCCGGAGCAGCCCCCTCCAGGAGGCGCCCGGCTGGGCGGGTGGGACTTGCTTCCTGTTGCTGCACGTCCCTCCCTCGGACCAGCTCCCCGGGGCTGCAGGTTCCGTTGCTTGCCCTTCTGCTCCATCATCCTCTGGTGTTCCCTTCTCCAGCTTCCTCCAGCCACGCGCTATGCCCGTGGCTAGAGGACTGGAGCTTTCTAAGCCAGTTTCCTCAGCTTTGAAATGGGCTGCTGTCACCTACCTTGCGAGTGTTTATTTCGTCTTCTCCTTCCATTGTTTTCCTTTTGTAAATGGTTAAGCGCTTCTATCTGAAAGGTTGGAGTTACTCCTACCGCTCCGTGGGAGAAAAACCTGACGATCTGCTCCCTTAATGATTACAGCCTGAGAAGAAGATCGACTGGACAGCACCCAACAACGTAACAGAGCAGAAAAGCAGTAGGAGGTGCCCTCAGGCCTCAGCCCTCTCCCAACCTGCCCTTAATGGCCCTTAACTCAAAAGACGCTTACCTATTAAGGAAGACTTTTTCTTCAGATATGATGGTAGTTTGTTCCTCTCCCCCCTTTACTCCTTACGCATCTACCAGGACAAGTGGATAAGCACACATCTAGGAATTATAACTTGGAAGAATTATATGTCTAAGACTCAACAGACAGTTAACTGGGATGTGAGCTAAGTTATAACAAACCAGGTTGATGCCAATGAAGAGCCAAGTAAGAAGCTCTCTTCATGTATTATGTATGATCAATTTCAATGTAAGCACTAAATAAAGCACAGGGTTGACTTCTAGCAATGTAAGAAAGCACCATGGAGAGATTTTGAAATGAAAAGAGCATGTTTCTAGTTAAAGGAGATGGGGGAGAGGGTCATTTGATGACCATAGCCCCCATTTAGAAAGAACTTAATGTGAGAGGGAGCTCATGGAGAGGAGTGTGAAGGGTGGGCCTCTACCCACAGGTGAGCCATGACAGCTGGGCCAGGCCTTGTGATAGCTGGTCAGCAGGCAGAGTGTGTGCAGGGCCACAGCTCCAGGTGGTGTGTTCACTCTCTGGGTCAGATGCCTGCCCTGGGCTATTGCAGCAATGCACACCCCAGAGCAGGCCTGGACATGTGGGGAATGTGGCTCTGGGGGAGCAGAACAGAGCAAACAGCACCTTGGACCCTCTGGTTAGGGCTTAGAGGTTCTGGAGACCCAGTGAGAGAATGTGTGGCTGAGGATGTGAGTTTGGCTGTGGCGGGTGGCAGGGACTGGGGGAGAGAGTGATTTCATTTGACCTCCGACCCTGCCCTGGGTCCTGGGCTTTGGAGGATCCTGTTTTATCCCTATTCCAATGGGTAAAAAAATCCAGGGATCCACTCAGGAGACATGTCCACTTGGAACCCACACCCTCCTTCTTCTAGATCAGTGTTTCTCAATATGTGACAATCTCCCACCCTGCCATCAGCAGAATAAACATCACCTGGAAATGTATTAAAAATTCTGGGCTCCCAAATTTGTGTTATGAATACGTTCCTTTGTGATGCTGATGTTGCAGGTGTAACCTCTGGAGCACAGTTCTCTGACACAGGCGAGGCCACCATGAGTCAGAATCTGGCAGCAGCTGGCAGGTTTAGTAGGTTGGAGAGCCATTCTTCCAGTCTGTGCCCCAGGTAGCTGAGACCATAGAGTTCTTCCCCAAGTAGCTGCAAGCCCACTTTCCAGGTGTGTGCGCCCTCTTCAATGCATCTGTGCTTCTGAGAGTGGGCCACACCACTAATAAGTGCATCTGTAGGCCTGTGGGCTGGAATGTCCACATGCATGCTGAAGAGACAAGCGTGAGGTGGGGCTGGGGAGGGAAGAGAAGGGCCAGGATGCAGGCTGGAGCTCCCATTTGCACTCTTGTCCTGGGTCTGGATATGATCAGGGTGGGCTGGCCTTGGCAGAAAGTTCAGCAGAGATGCTAGGGCCGCAGGGTCAGTAAAGCATCCTCTGTCCACCCTTGAGGACCAGAGAAATGTGGCTCAGCTGTGCACACTAGCCATTTATTGGCTCACATTTTAAAAAAGAATGAAAGCAAAAGCAATTGGCTCTCTCCATGTTCCATGGGAGAGAGATACACAAATTATCCTTTGCACCTGCCTGAATGCCCTTCAGCCAGGGACAGGCTATTTCAAGTCTTATGTAAGCAGGGATATACATGATCTTCTAAGGGAGCCCATGTTTTATTTCTAAAAGAAACAGACAAAAAAACGTGTTGCTGTCAGGTCAATGGTGCCTCATCACAACCCCATGCGTTACCAAGTAGAACTGCTCCGTGGGGTTTTCTTGGCTGGAATCTTTATGGAAGCAGATCACCAGGCCTTTCTTTCATGATGCTGCTAGGTGGGTTCAAAACCATTAGCGTTTCAGTTAACAGCCAGCACAAAAGGTCTGTGTCACCCAGGGAGCTTTAAGTCCTGTAAATACAGTTTGTGCTGTCTCCCCCTCACCTCCTCCCTAATACCTTGCCACTCTTAGTTACTAGATTCCAATACCTGGACTCCAATACATTGCACTGGAGAGACAATGAATGAGGCTATTGAGGATTGGGGCTTAAGTTTTGGAATTAAATAGTCTAGGTATGGATCTAAGCCTCACTTACTAGTTGTCTGACTTTGAATAACTGACTTAATTGTTCTGCAAGCCTTGGTTTTCTCATTTGTAAATGGGAACAGTATGAACACCTACAGAACTGATTCTCATTTGTAAATGGGAACAGTATGAACACCTACAGAACTGAGCATGTGGATAAAGTGAGAACAAAAAACCCAAACTCATTCCCTTTGAGTCGGATCTGACTCATAGCGACCCCTCCTTGGGATTCCGAGGTGGTATCTCTACAAAAGTAGATTGCCCAACCTTCAAAAATAATATTAACTATTGTAAACATTTAGCTAATGCACCAAGTGCATTAACTAATGCCTTAGTTTGTCTTTCTCATCACATTGCTAGTTTAGGGAGACAGAAAGGCCAAAAGCTGGAAAGTGAAGCCGAAGACCATAGTCCTGAGATCTGGGCAGTGGCTGAGTGTTGTCAGATAGGAGTTTCTTTAAAGGGGTAGTAAGTGTGCTGAATTCCCACTGATTTTAATATGACTCTGGCCGGTTTGAAGGGCTTGGCTTCCATAAATCAATTGCCTCCAGCAACCTTTCCCTTTTCACCTTTAACCCTTCCCACAGCTCCATCACAGGTCAGGTCTAGGCTTGTGTGCTAGGATGAGAGAGCCAGCCTATGGGTAGCCCAGAAGGGACTGAGCGTGGCTGAGGCTGCAGATCCAGTGGCCCAGGGCTGCATCAGGACTGGCAGTGAGGGTCGGACCCAGGACCCAGTGACACTTTTATTATTGAAATCGACCTAAACTTTACTAGCTTCTGGGGAAAGCTGGGGGCTTTGGGGATTTTTGTATTTGCTGGGTTGTAAATATTTTATGGGAAAGCAGCCCAGGAGAATCTGGTTAGCTTTCCGCCTTGCACACTGAGTGGGGTTGGCTTCAAGCACAATTGTAGCAAAAAAGAAATCCAATTTGCCTTGGTTTCAAAGACTTCACCTTGGATTTTAAAAGCCTGCTACTCCCTCCGCCATGTACCTCAAATTTCTTTTTCCCACTTGTAACAAAAAAAAAAAAAAAAAGATCTCCAGGATTAATGGCATTGCAAGAGGATTTTAGATTGGATCTGGGGGAGGGAGGAGTGTGGGACAAATCTTTGTTGGGGTGTGTGTGTGTCTGGGTGTCCTTGGCGGAAGTTTCTCCTTCCAGGTGTCTCTAATTCTCATTGGAGAAATGCCTGGTGTCTATTTGCTCATTTGCCTCCTGTAGACTTCTGAAAGCTTCCTTGCTCTTTTGTTTGTTGTTAAATGGTTGATAAATAAATAAATAAATAACCCAAAGAAAAGGGGGAGGGAAGGAAGGAAGGAAGGAAGGAAAAAAGAAAGAAAACAGTTGGCAGCCCTCACTCTGTCTACACTGTGTTCAGTCTAAACCCCCCAGCAAAACCACCTGATGGTAGTGAAGTTACACCAGTGGGTGTAAACTAGGGCTGCACCTTTAAATCTTGGAGTTTAAAGGGCGCACAGGGGATGGGGGGGAGGCTAACAGAAAACAAACACATACACAAAATCAATGCCAAAGCCCTGTCCTAGGATTTTGATAACAGTTGGTTTGGGGCAAGCCCTAGCTTTGGTGTTTTTAAGTTCCCCACATGATTCTACTGTGCAGCCAGGCGAGTTTCTCCCTCATTCACCAGTGTGTGCTCTAAGAGCAGCACAGGCCCTAGACGCTGTGGTGAGCAAGAGGGATGTGGACAGCCCTCCAGATCGTATGGGGTTGACGGGAGCGGGCTGTTGCTTGGAAAGACAGATCACTAACGAGACAAATACAAACGAGGTAATTGCAGATAAAGCCAAGTGCTGGGAAGATAATACACTAGGGTCCTGTGATAGTGACTGAGCAAGGCTACTTTAGATCAGGGAGGTCCGGGATGGCCTGGCGGAGGAGGTGACATTTGAACTGAGAAAGCTGAGAGGCAGCCAGCGGAGAGGAGGTCTGGGGGAAGCGCGGGCCAGGCTTGCGGCCACAAAGGTCACTTTAGTGGTTATGCAGCCTCCTGGGGGAAACCCAGGAGGCCGCTGCGGCAGCCGCCTCTCCAGCAGCCACCGACTTCCGCCCAGGGCGTCCGGAGCTGGTGTGGAGGAGGGGACAGGCCTTGGTGGCCCCCTCTTCGTGCCAAAGGCCGGCGGGACGGGGAGGCTAGGGGTGGCCAGGCCGCGGGCCAGCGGACTGACCTCCCGGCCGGAGCTCCGCTCCCTGCCCTTTTCCTCCCGGGGGCGGCCACCGAGCGCTGGGTTGATTTCCCGCTTAAGTGAAACTGACTGTAATTATTTTTTATCTCGCAGACGATCTCCCGCACACTCCTCTCCCGAGACAGAAGTATTTGTTTGATGTGTCCACGCTCTCAGACAAAGAAGAGCTGGTGGGCGCGGAGCTGCGGCTCTTTCGCCAGGCCCCCACAGCGCCCTGGGGGCCACCGGCCAGGCCCTGCCGGGTGCAACTTTTCCCCTGCCTCTCGCCCCAGCTGCTGGACGCGCGGACCCTGGACCCACAGGGGGCGCCCCTGGCCGGCTGGGAAGTCTTCGACGTGTGGCAGAGCCTGCGCCTTCAGCCCTTGAAGCAACTGTGCTTGGAGCTGCGGGCCGCGTGGGTCGAGCTGGGCGCTGGGGAGCCCGACACGCGCACGCCGGGGTCCCAGCAGCCGCCGGCTCCGGACCTGCGGAGTCTGGGCTTCGGCCGGAGGGTGCGGCCGCCCCAGGAGCGAGCCTTGCTTGTGGTGTTCACCAGATCGCAGCGCAAGAACCTCTTCGCGGAGATGCGCGAGCAGCTGGGCTCGGCTGAGGCTCAGGGCGCGGGCGCCGAGGGGTCGTGGCCTCCGCCGTCTGGCGCCCCGGACGCAGGGCCTTGGCTGCCCTCGCCCGGCCGTCGGCGGCGGCGCACTGCCTTTGCCAGCCGCCACGGTAAGCGGCACGGCAAGAAGTCGAGGTTGCGCTGCAGCAAGAAGCCCCTGCATGTGAACTTCAAGGAGCTGGGCTGGGACGACTGGATTATCGCGCCCCTGGAGTATGAGGCGTACCACTGCGAGGGCGTGTGCGACTTCCCGCTGCGCTCGCACCTGGAGCCCACCAACCACGCCATCATCCAGACGCTGATGAACTCTATGGACCCTGGCTCCACCCCTCCCAGCTGCTGCGTGCCCACCAAATTGACTCCCATCAGCATCCTGTACATTGACGCGGGCAATAACGTGGTCTACAAGCAGTATGAGGACATGGTGGTGGAGTCCTGTGGCTGCAGGTAGCGGCGCCTTTCCCGCCGCCGCAGTGGCCCGCCGCTGGGGAAGCTTGACTGCTGTGTGAGGCGGAGGGGAAGCCGGCCTTGGAAGAGGCTGAGGGTGGAGGAACAGCCTGGACAAGTAAAGCGGGTGGGAGAGGAGGGAGCGCAGCACAGCCCTCCCAGAACCTTCCACCTGCCAGCCCAGAGGGATCTATGGATTTTCACACTTTGCCTGGCCACCCTGGAAAAATAAGCCAAGAAGGATTTCTTTTCGTATTTTTTTTTCTCTTCATTATTGTGGCTTTGGATTTCCTTGTATGTTTCACAGGTTTTGAGAGGAGGTGGGAGAAGGGGTGAGGGTGTATCTGTTTTTCGACTGTTCCATAGATTGAAAAATAATTTAAAAAGGCAAACAGTATAGGAGGAGGAGTCACCTTTCACCACACGTTGGCTTGGTTGTTTCCCTACCTGTGTAAAGAAGATGCTGTCTTTCTGGCCATGTCACAGCCCATGTCTGATGGCCTCCCAAGCAGAAAGTGTTAAAATAAGGACATTGGAAATAGAATAGGAAAACCAGTACCTGTCTCCAGAAGAGCTTCCAGACAGGTGGTCCCAAGCTCATTTCCCATCCACTTGTGTACTCTAGTGAGTGTGCCAGCTCTGCCTTGGCCTCTCCCAGGACTGGTGGTAACTGGCAACCCTCATATGAATCCACAAGGCTTAGGGGGCTGACAGCCATGGTTAGGTGCTGCCTTTGCTGGTGCTTTTTCTGGTGAGGGCAAGGGGAGCTGGTATGGATGGAATGACAAGAATTAGTCCAAATGGAACCCCCTGAAGGATAATGAGAGACCACAAGACCTGCCTCTTACTGAGGCTGACACTGAGGTTAATGTGCCCAGGCAGGAGATAACTCACTGAAAAGCCATTCATGATGTCTGTTTCTAATTGATTAAAACAAACAAAAACGAAATTTGCCCCAAATTTAGGCATCTCTTTTTTTTTCAGAAGAAGATGATCTCTCGATTTTAAAAACAATGTAGGGACAGTAAAACTAAGGCCAGAGGTGCAGAGGAGGGGGAAACAACCAAAGAAGTGGAGAGGGCGAGGTGGGGTGGGAGTGGGGGTGGGGGCTCAAGGGACCCCAGGAGCAGGCAAGGAAAGGATGAAAGCAGACACAAGTGCCTGTCTCTGAAGTTTCTTTAAAATCTCTTTTCCCGCCCCTCTGACATTCCTGAAAGATTACCAGCCAGAAATAGCCCAGGGCTTCCCCCCAAAGAATTGTTTCAGATTGTAATTACCAGTTAGCCAATGTTTTTAAAACCTAGTAACAAAAAACTGTGAAAAGAGCAAAGTGTTACTGTGAGCTTGAGGTGGGAGAGGAGGAAAAAGAGTGAAAAACACCAAACCTTTGCAGTGGAGTTGATTTTGAATTATGGTGACCCCGTGTGTTACAGAACAGAACGGCCCCATAACGTTTCCTTGGATGTAATCTTTACAGAAGCAGATGACCAGGCCTTTTTTTCGAGATAGTGCTGGGTGGGTTTGAACTCCCAGCTTTTAGGGTAGCAGTTGAGTGCTAACCACCCAAGCATGTCTAAAGAAGGAGACTAGGGTGGTCTTCATCTGGCAGGAAGCAGGAGAGAGTACAACCCAATTTAAATACCCCTTCCCAGATAGTAAAAAGCATGAACTTTCCCCCTCTTTCTGCATTAGTATTATTTTCAAACATTGCCCATATGGGAACATGAGTTGACTTCCTTTTCATCTTTGACCATGAAATGATTTAAGCAAGGGGACTTGTACCAACCATTTTTTTTTTATATAAAGTTTTTGTTTTCCTTCTGTGGTTTTGCTCTCTCTCAATCTAAATCTGTTGCTTATTTGTTTCAAAGAACCACAAACTGTCAAAGAAAGGGTGGGGACGATAATGAATGCTAATATAAAATGCTAAGTAAAAAAAAAAAAAAAAAAAGACTTGGCCAGGAGAAATAATTTAAAATGCACATTTGCTTTGGATGCACTGTTGTTCTGTTCAGGCTGTATATATTTGTTTATTTAAGGTGACTGAAAGTGCAAAGAAGTGGATAGCATGCAATTCATCGTAATGTACAAAACGTTATATGCACTCAAATGTTATAATTTCTAATATTTTTAAAGTTTATATTCGAGTTGTACAAAGTGAAGCATTAATCAGATATTTCATTCTTTCATAATGTTATCATTTCCTTAAATATTATTACAAAATTTTAATTCTGTCTAATGGAGAGTTTTTTTTTTTTTTTAAACTGTCTACCTCACTATAGTACAAGTATTTACAGTACTAAAGTTACCAGAGGTAAATTAATATTCAAAGCATTTTTTTTTAACAGTACATCTTTCCTGATGATACTCAATCTAATACTATATTATTAAACTCATTTCCTCCCTTAATAACTCAGCCTGGTTTATATGGATCTATTTAGAAAAAAAAAAAAATCATTTTCTCAAAGAATTCTTTCTTGTCAGTGGTATTTTGTTCCAGTATGGGACTGGATGTCTGAAAAGACACCAATTATTTTGAAAGTCATCTTTTGGAGCCCCGTACTTTTTCTTCATAACTCTTCCATAACTCTTCTTTCATGAAATTTTCATTCAGCACATTAAAACCAAATCCTTGTCGGTCAGTGAACAGTGAACCTTCACTACAATCCAGCATGGCAAGAGTCCAAGTAGGAGTTGGAATATTTGCTACTCCCTTTAATGTTGCAAAAAGAAAATAGATACGTAAATCAGCCAAGATGTTGCTAATTACTGTTTACATTTGTAGAACACTGGAAGCAGAAGATAAATTTTTTAATTCACTTGCTACCAATCGGATTTTGGAAGTGTAAGTCTGAAAGCTCACTGTGTTACACATGATGTTGTGTATGTGTCCTCTCACGTAAACTCCTCAAAAACCTCCTTTTATTATTATAATCCTCATATCATAGATGAGGAGACTGAAATGGAGAGAGTTTCGGTAACCTATTCGTGGTCATTCAGTCAGAGAGTGGTAAAAAAAAAAAACCCAAACAACCCACTGCCATTGAGCTGATTCGAGCTCATAGTGACCCCACAGGACAACTAGAACTGCTCCACAGGGTTTCCAAGGCTGTAAATCTTTATGGAAGCAGACTGCCTCATATTCCCCCCCACAAAGCAGCTGGTGGGTTTGAACTGCTGACCTTTTGGTTAGTAGCCAAATGCTTTAACCATTGTACCACCAGAGCTCTTTCAGAGAGCTCATTTCCTCTTTCAGAGAGTGGTAGTTAGGGTTCAAACCTAGTTCATTTAGACTGAGGAGCTAAGGAGTTAACCACTATCCAATACTAAAAACCAGATGTCCTCAAGTTGTCTGTCGTTGATGATAACCCCCGAGTTTCAGCGTAGAACTTGCTCCACAGAACTCAATGGTAGTGATCTTTTGGAAGTGTGATTTTTGTGAACATTGGTCATGAAAATAACGATCAATTGGCAGATAGAAAACAACGCTCATTGGAGTTTCCAGGTCATTTTAAAAAAGCTTTGTTATTTACCCAAGTGGAAATTTGTAACTAGGCAATTTTAACTTCTGGGTTGGGGAAGACAGTGGAGTAAAAATGTGGTTCCTTTTCTCTTTTCTGTGTTAAGGATTTTATTTTTCAAATAGTTGAGATTTTTCTACACTCCTCACCAGTTCCGCTAACCCCCCAACTTTCCCGAGGACTCCCAGCCCTGTATCTTAATGTCTCAAACCCAAAGTTTTCCCTATTTTCCTCCAGTATTTCCATGTCCAAAGTTACTTTCTTCTCTCCATCAAAGTGTTTTCCCCTACCTTAGGTGTTTGGAGGAATACAATGTCACTGAATTATATAAAGATACAAATATCTCCCAGCTCCTTCACATGCCTTAAAGTATTTGCATTTTTAAGGAGAAAATCCTGGTTAACTCATACTTCTTGTGAGAGATGTGAAAACATTTCAGATAATATAGGAGATTCAACACTCAAGCTACACACTGTTTTGAGCCGAACACTAATAACACAAGGACTAATGGAGGCACTTGTTGATGTGAGTTTTTTTTTTTTTTTTTTTTGTGTGTGTGTGTTTCTTAGGAGAGATATGGAGCAATGAATTGACTATGACTAACTTGTTTTATAATTAATATCCAGTGTGTTAAATAAAAATATTTAATAACTTATTTTTAAGCTCTTATGTTTAATGAATATATGCCCCTTTATAGAGAGAGCAATTTTTATGCCCTTGTTCTGTTCATTGCTGGATTCTTAGCATTCACAACAGTGCCTGCCATATAATAGACACTCAGCAAATATGTTGAATGAATAAACTTACAAATCCTATTCTACTTATAAATCTAGTAATTTTAATAGCCACTTGTAAGGGCACCTTTAAACTCAAGTTGAATGGACCAACCTATCTTAATCAATTCCAGTTGCCAACCTAGTTAATAAACTCCCTTTAAACATTGTGTGTTGCTTTTATAAATTTAATATATTAAATTTTCTTCTTAAAGCTCTTCAAGTTTCTCTAACAGGCCAAACCATCCCATATACTTAAATAATTCCAAGCAAAGCTAATAAGTTAAACTTCTAAAGATGGTGATTCTTAACTTCTATTAAGTCTTCCAATACGATTTATACCTTTTGACTTAACATTAGGAGTCTAAAACTAATTACTCGGTTACCCAATTAAATTGATATCAGAAGGCTAATCTATAGGTACCTCAATACACTACATTTTCTTAAAGCTTGCAAACATTTTAAATACCAGATATGTGCAGATTTTCCCAATGACTGCCACAACCTATTTTTGGAAATGAACACAAAGTATTAATAGTTTTCTTCTATTTTATGTCTATATTCAATTGTAAAGTTTCTTGTGGTTAAAAGCATTTACCCACTAAGGAAATATTATAATGTCACAGGTAAGATGAGGGGACCATCTCAGCAGACTATGGCTGCAAACTACCAGATTCTTCATTTGAGAAAAGAGATGACTTCTCCATGGC